TTTGTCTAATTTGATTATGAGCCCCCTGGACAAGAACTTTGTCTAATTCTGTGTTCTCTACAGCACCTAGCCCTTTGTTGGCACCACTGAATGCCAAAGAACACTCCACTTCTGTTAACTAATAATAAGATTGACTTCCCAACTCAATGTGATGAGGTTTCTGTCATTTTTATGCCAGTGTTTTCTGATTTGTATTTCATATTTATGTCTGGAGAGGAAGCTTCATGTGTTACTGAATCACCTCTGGACTGATCTTCTTTTCAGGAAACGTAGGCATGAGGTTGAGTGTTTTTCAACCACGAGTTTTGGGAACACAGACTGCTCAAATATGCTAGGGTACATGAAGGGGAAATGTTTCTGAAAGAATCACTTTTTTCAGCAGTCATGGGGATCTCTGTGAGCCAAGGATACAGACTGGTTAGCAGATGTGACCATAAAAACAGCAGGTCTCTTTAATGCAAATATTTCACTTTGGTTTCTCTGTTCCTAAGGAAAATAGGCAGGTTTGTGGGTTTTGTTTGTTTGTTTTTGTCTGTTGATTTAATTGTACTCTTTAATTGCACTTCTTTAATTGTACATATTATTTGATCTAGTGCTAAATCAATAATTAAGTTTCTCTTTATGGTAAATGAGTCACCATATTGACTTTTTAAGGCAAAAATCAGATATTCCAATTTACAATGCAATTTCAGATATTGCAATTCGCAATGCAATTTCACAACGCAAACATAGCAGGAGTTTTCTGGGCTATCTCATCTTAATTCAGGTAGAGGAGAAAAATGTCTTCATTAATAGAGGACACTGTTTATATATATATTTTTCCATTTAGCATGGCTTATACTTTCTGTTGAATGTCAAACATACATAATGTATTACGTAATATGAACTGAGGTAAACGGGTCTTTAGTGTGAAGTTTTATGTTAATTTATCTAGAAACTGGGCTGTGTTCAATATTTTGTATAGCCTCTACATACTAGCCTCTACATACTATAGCTTCAAATACCTTCCTTGCTTTTGTTTTTGTCTTCGCTATCACTTTGAGTTTCCCTAAGAACACCTCCTCAGCGATAGTCTGTTTTGCAGCCCTTTCAGATTTAACTAACTGTTATTATACTGGAGCCTTATTGCTGTGTGTCAAGGGAGGGAGAATAAAATGGGGGGAGGGAAGAAGAACATACTATAATCTTACAAGAAAATCTGTCTTTTAGTGGGCCTATGTCACTGGGCTGTAACCTTCACCAATATTTCTTAGCTTTACTCGCCCTCATAGGTAAAACAAGATGGCACCACAATTGTATATATTCCCTTCCTCCAGGGGGTTAAGGTTCTGGTAAAGTCTTATACCCTGGAGAAGAGGTCTTTGTTGTGGTGAATGATCTCAATAAGTTTTATTTATTTATTTATTTATTTATTTATTTATTTACTTACTTACACTTATTTTTTGAGAGACAGAGCACGAGCAGGGGAAGAGCAGAGAAACAGGGAGACATACTGCTAGGAATTTATCCAAGGGACACAGGAGTACTGATGCATAGGGGCACTTGTACCCCAATGTTCATAGCAGCACTCTCAACAATAGCCAAATTATGGAAAGAGCCTAAATGTCCATCCACTGATGAATGGATAAAGAAATTGTGGTTTATATACACAATGGAATACTACGTGGCAATGAGAAAAAATGAAATATGGCCTTTTGTAGCAACGTGGATGGAACTGGAGAGTGTGATGCTAAGTGAAATAACCCATACAGAGAAAGACAGATACCATATGGTTTCACTCTTATGTGGATCCTGAGAAACTTAACAGGAACCCATGGGGGAGGGGAAGGAAAAAAAAAAAAAGAGGTTAGAGTGGGAGAGAGCCAAAGCATAAGAGACTGTTGAGAACTGAAAACAAACTAAGGGTTGATGGGGGGTGGGAGGGAGGAGAGGGTGGGTGATGGGTATTGAGGAGGGCACCTTTTGGGATGAGCACTGGGTGTTGTATGGAAACCAATTTGACAATAAATTTCATATATAAATAAAAAAAAATAAAAATAAAAATAAAATAAATAAATAAATTAATTAATTAATTAATTAAAAAAAAGAATCTGAAGCAGGCTCCAGGCTCTGAGCTGTCAGCCTGATGTGTACAGAGCCTGATGTGGGGCTCGAACCCACAGACTGTGAGATCGTGACCTGAGCCGAAGTCAGACACTCAACAAACTAAGCCACCCAGGCGCCCCTCAGTAAGTTTTAAAATTTTACCATTTCCCCTCCCCTGCCAGAGGCACAGGAGATCTTTCTTGCATTTTTACTAGGAGGATGGTGAGGTCCCTGGAGGCAAACACCATGAAAGTGTGGGACTCCCCCTAAGTCTCTATGCCCTAGCAGTTTCTCATTCTCATGTTAGTCCATACTCAGCATCCAGCAATTAATTAAAATTACCATTTAACTGTTGCTATAAGTTTATGGCTTCCATGACTTCTGTTCCAATTAGGCAGATCTTTGTTGTGACTGTCTGAATTTGCATGGTTTGGGGATAGCAGCTTGACCTGAGACCTCAGTTTGCTGCTGTGTCCAAAAATCACTGATTTTCAGTATGTTCAGCTTTTTTCTTGTGAAGATAGGAGCGATAGTTTCCAAACTCTTCATATGTCATTGAAGCTGAGCCTTTATACAGTTTTTTTCACAAGTAAAAATAAATGTGATAAGGGAGTTGAAGTATTGCTACAAGTAAATAAACTAAAAATCATTTTTGAATTATCTTCAAAGCTTATTTCTAATAAATAGATTAAATGAATAGGAAAATTGTAATGGATAACAGAGGTTAGCAGTGCTTCCACTGGTCAAATTTGGAACACCTTATGCATTATAACAAATAAGGAGTTGGATAAATTATAATACACTGGAAAAAAGGAGTCCATCAGTTCATACTGATACCCAAAAATAATAATTTCAAGTGTTGGGGAGAGGGAGAATGAAAAGTTCTTTTTTACAGAAAAATGACAACAAACAAATGTAGAGGAAATTATAAAATTGGAAAAATCATCATTTTGCTGGTACCAGGGTAATACTTTATCTAAGGAATATGTATTAATGGATACCAAAGCCATTGAGGGAAAGATCATTGGAGAGCAAAATATTCATACAGTCTCAATATCACCTTGCAGAGTACTCATTAACCACAAAAGAAAAGCATGCCTGTACAATGAAGAAATACAACAGACACCACCTTAACTAAGTAATCAAACTTAATTTCCTAAACTAGCATACACTGATATTGTGTACTTCCTGATATGAATCTCTGTGGGGACACAACATCACAACTGTTGTTGTCCTGCCAAATATATTCTACCTGAATCTATTTAGGAGAAAATAGTCATTTTAGGGATATTGTACAAAACAACGATCTGGTCTCTTTAAAAGTGTTAAGGCCATAAGAGAAAAAACAGCTGGGGACTATTTTAGATTAAAAAGGCATAAAGAAATTTGATAACTAAATGCAATGCATGATTCTTCATTGAATCCTGGAAGGAGGTATACAAATAGTTATAGAGAATTTTGTTGGGGTAACTTAGGAAATTTGAATACTAACTGTGTTTATTAGATGAAAGCTTAATGTCAACGTTAAAATTTCTTATGGTAATTATATTGCAGTTTATGGGAGGATGTCCTTGTTTTAGGAGAGAAATGGTGAGGTATTGGACTGATTTTCATGGTGTCTACAATTACCTCCCAAGTGGCTGAAAGTTAATAAGTTTGATTGAAAGTTCCTTTTTTTGCAACTTTTCTGTAGGGTTGATATTTTGTAAAACATAAAAATGAAAAAGTAAACAAAATGGATGACAACAGTAATAATATAAAATCAAATGCTTTATCCTTGGGGGTGTTAGACATCATACAGAAAAAACGTTAAGCTTACTTTCCATTGATAAGTATACTGAACATTCTTTCGCATGCTATGTGTGAATTAGTCTTTTGCAAAGGAGCTATGGTAAAATAATTAGTCAAATACACAGAAACAAAGACTATAGTAGATACCCCAAAAACTGTTGGGTGAAAACTCTTGTAAAAAACGGAAATTTACAAGAGCTTTGACCAATAGTGATAGGGAATTAAAAGTAAAATTTTGGATGCAATAACCTCCCATATATTCTATTTATTACTGCATATACATAAAAATGCCAAAAAAGATTAACACATTTGTATAACAAATATAAATAATTGCAATATAATGCCTTCCTACATTAACGAAGAGCTTTGCACAAACCTATCTTCTTCAAAATGCTGTCATTTCACTGTATTGGTTACTTTGACAACATGTAAAATAATGAGAATGTACACTTAGCCCTGGCTCTGAAGCTATCCCTAAATAGGGCACTTTTAAAGACACATTCTCTCCTGCAAGTGATGGTAAAGTGATTAAAATGATGGCAAAATCCAACATAAAGGTCAGACTGAGTATTGCCAACTGCTAGAAACTTTCGTCAAGTGTCTGAGTAATTTTTATCCTTCCACATCACCGCCTCTACTCGGTTTGTGCCAAGGCCCCAGGGAAAGGTTAGTCAGTGTGTTCATAGACAGGGCAGGAGAGTAATAAGTGAGCAAAGAGGATTAACTATCTTATCTATCTGGGGTAAAGCACTGGATGCTCTAGGAAAAGAAAAATCCTTCTGTGTTAAGACAAGTTTTAGAAGTAGCTTCATTCCAATTACTGTCATTTATAAACTTTCTTTGCCCTGAGGATTTTCAGGAGCTTGACTTAAAAAATTAAAAAAAAAAATCACCTTACTTTATAAGCAGCAATCGCCACAATTAGAGCTGCAGTGTAGACATCCTTACAGGATATAATAATTAATTCACCTGGTTATGAAGTCTTGCCTTCTTCCCTGCCAAATTCCAAGAACAAGCAATCTGTCTTTAAAGGGCTATGTCATAGCTAGAGAAAGAGACAATGAATTTCAAGACGACTTGGGGATATATGGAACAAAGCAGACCCAAACCCTGATTTTCCTTACCTGCTCTTTGATGCTGGGAGCTAGGCAGTGAGTGAGAGGCTGAGGAAATGGAGAAACTTCCATGGGCATTCATTCCCTTGTCTCTTTAAGACTTGTGTTCTCCTTCCAATTCCCATTTTCTCTTTTTGAAGCAGAAGTAGGATATTTGCATCTTAGAGTCTGATGAGAGAGAGCAGAAGAGAAGGGCCTGTGACTGACTAGAGGAATTGAAGTCCCAGTGACTAGAGGAATTGAATTTTCCTTCAATTCCTGCCCCAGCTAGAGAGAGAGGTCTGCTGCTCTGGGCTGTGCTCAGAGCCTGGAGACCAAACAGCATCAAGTTCTCCAGACATCTCTCTGATAGATCCTGTGTCTCAAGGCACTGGGACACAGCAAGAACCTCCCAGTCAGATAGCTTGAGGTTTAAACCCCAGTTGTTCTATTATTTTTTGTTTGAACTTGAAGTCATTAAACCAAGAGTCTCAGTATCTTCTGCTAAAAAAACAAAAACAAAAAAAGCGAAAAACAAAAAAACAGGGTGGGTGGTCAGGTGGGAGATATCATTCACAATAATTAGACTAGTGGGAAGATAGATGAAATCGAGAAGTAAGGGTTCAGCACCACGTCTGACAGTTTTAAGGGCTCAGGGCATGACTTCAGCAGCTAAAAAAAGGCAGGGATTACTGTCTTTCTTTTGAATCTCTTCACGGAGCCATGATGGGGGTAATGAAGGCTGGGACATCCAGTCTATTCTGGCTCCTGTAATGTTAACCTAGGCACACCACAAACTAGACAGAGCTCCAAAGTAGACAATACTTGTCTTTAATGTTCTTGTCCTGCTCATTCTAAAATTAGCGTTTATATCCAGGACCCCCTTCTCCACATCTTCTTTCTGGTATTGGGGTTTCATGTGTCATGCCCCGTACAATCCTCTCTAGGTCTGCACTCTTTTGGCAAACATGTCTTGTACTTTTTCAGGTTCTCTGTGATAATACCAGGCATTACTCCTTTAAATTAATCAGTTCTCTGAGGCTACGTTTTGTTCTTTTTCCTTATTGTATTGACAAAATCTTTCGGTATGGTCATATGGTCACAGATTTGATATCCAGAAAGTGAGCAGAATCATTTTGCTGTCTTGGAATTTTATTGTTGCAAGTATTTTTCAAAACAAATACAATTTGGTAATATTTTCATTATTTGAAATACAATATCAAATGCTGTAAATATTGGCATATTCTATTATAAATATAACTAAATTTCTTTTAACTTTAAAACAATAAAGAAAACACAGCGATCTAGATTAAAAGTAGAAAACATGAAATTTTTGACTCAATGGAACTTTCAGATTAATCATTTTCCCACCACCAATTCATTCTAATGGTAAATGGTAATATGATAATGAATTCTATAATTATCCTTTGAAGCCTTCAGATTAAAAAATAATAACAAAAGTTCTTTGTGTAAGCAGACTATCAGTCCTCGTCAAGAAATATGGTTGCTTTATAGCTTTCTGAAAATATGTTTCAGTCAGACATACCTGGGCACGCAGTTTGGAAAATTCAAATTAAATTTCCCAGTATTTAGTTCATTACAGAGTCCATGCTACCTGCTGTAGAAAAACTGACTTTTCAGTATCTTATCATCGTTGTCATTTTCTTCAGCTATGAATTTCTCTTTCACTAAAATCCATTAGTTTTCTAAAACTGTAGATTTTACTATTAGTGAGATCATAGCATTTCTTTTATGTAGAGCTCCTTGGTCACCATGGGGCAAACTGAGTGGTATCTGGAAGGCCTCTTATTGCCTTTTCCTGACCAGTTTAAATTTCTCTCTATCTAATGCCTCTTTCTGATATACTTACTATGTCAAACCCCAGGGACAGGTCCGCTCATGATAATATCATCCCTCTACTCCACATCAAGATATCCAGATCCTTCATCGTTGTAAGAGCATTCAACCTCAGAACCTATTTCTTTCTTTTGTTATCTATGATTGAATATAACCTCTTGGGTACCAAAATTAAAAACAAACAAAAAGCCCCTAACACTTCTTGCTACTCCCCGTCTACCCCAACAACAATTAAAAAAAAAAAAATTCATACAAATCTTTCCAATTTCTGAATAAAGAACTCAAACTTCAGTTTTAGTGTTTTGTTTGTTTGTTTGTTTTGCTTTTTAATGTTTTACCAAGGTTCCCTCCAAGGTTATTTGCCATCAGGGTATCTTTGAAAGTGCAATGAAGTATCTATCATCAGGCGAGCATATATACTCTACAGATTTTAGAAGGCTATGACTTTCATTATTTATCTTGAATTTCCTCTTTAGACTGTGTATTAATGCAAAGTGGAAACTAATTTTTTTTCTTTCTCGGCCTATACACATACTCAAAGTTTTCAAAGCAAGATGTCATGCTAGAAATAAAATAAACACAAGAAACTTTTCTCTTGGCAATACTTTTCAGAGGCAAAGACTAAATGAATAGTAGCAAAGGTGGAAAGAGCATGCCAAATATTTTTACATTTGTGGAGAGTCTAAATAAAAAGATGGTCCCGTGGTGAGCTTTGCCACATTAAGCTTCTGGGAGAAGTGTGCATGGAGAACATTCCTGGGGCTGGCACTCCTGGAGAGGGCTCCCTTAAATTCTTCACAGCTGGACTCCAGAGACAAGCAATTGCTCTTTGAGCCAAGGACATGGAAGGAGAGGGAACTACCAAGCCGATTTCCGAGGAAGCTGGCTCCCAACCCAAATATGAAAATTACAGCCAAGACCCCGATTATTTGTCACTTTTTCCCTGCAATTTTGAACCGATAATCATGTGCTTCTGAAGACAGATGTTCATAAAGTTATTGGCAACCACATTTTACTCAATCTTTAGTCATTAATTTGCTTACATTTTCTAAACTAATGATACTTCAGTTAAAGTTATGCTGATATCATATGGAAATTCAATAGCACTAAGAACACTAATCAATTTTGAAACCTTGCTCCTTTAGGAGGTGAATGACGAACTCCTTTCTTGAATCCTTTCAGCATGGAGATCAGGACCTGAAGTTTTCAGGGGAGATTTTTTTTTTCTAATAAATATTTGCATCACCTCTACATAAGCAATTTGCTTCTAGGTCTCCAACTCCCTTTAATTACTGTTCGACACAAAAGCATGCAGGGGCACCGGGGTGGCTCACTCGGTTGAGCGTCCAACTCTGGCTGAGGTCATGATCTCTCAGTACGTGAGTTCGAGCCCAGCGTCAGGCTCTGTGCTGACAGCTCAGAGCCTGGAGCCTGTTTCAGATTCTGTGTCTCCCTCTCTCTCTAACCCCTTCCCGGCTCATACTCTGTCTCTCAAAAATGAATAAACGTTAAAAAAATTTTTTTAAAGCATTCATGGTTATTACAGATCTCCCTTGACTCTTTTTACTTTCTAAATTCCTTAAGAACAGTGAGCGTGTTCCTTACCAGGAGCCCTAAGTCTCTGTGAACATGACCAACTTTTTGTAAGTAATTTACACTAAGGTCCACTGGCTGCTTAACAGCTGTCTGTAAGAAAGACAAATTACTTTTCATTTTCACTGAATTATAAACGATTTTAATTGTTTTAATAAAAAAATGTTTAGTTATTAGGAATTCCAGCATTTGTAATATAAAAATTAAGTTTATTAATGACCACATCTGAAGTTCAGTGTAAGAATTGGTGGGTGTTGTTTCCTCACAATCTGATGATATCTCCATGTCTATATACTGCTTTTGGTTTTAGTATATGATTGCTCTCTCCTTAATGTTTCCTCATCTGTGTTGACTACTTTACTAGAGTAAATTTCTATGGGACAATCCATGCATTATCTACCAGCTGTATGGAAATACTATTTAGAACGGTAAATTTCTGGGCATCATTATAATATAAACTGTAATTGCTGTTTAAAGTTGGTATAAAAACATAAACACCCTTCGCACTTTGCCATGCTCTACTGAATTCAAGGGATTCCAATATGGTTAAAGAAAGAGAGGAACCAAGCTTCAGGAACCTGCACTGACTGGGCTTTCCAACAACACTAAGCATTCTACTGTCTGTCTGCCTCAGGAGCTACCATTCCGACACCTTCTCAGCAGAATTCAGCTACAAACCCAATAAAAATTCTAGCTAAGTAGGTCAGACTGCTGAGAGCCCTGGCACTGATTTTATTTCTGACTGGGCAAGGACTCTCTACCATGGAAGAATGACAACGACATAATAAATCTACCTTGTTGCTTATAAAGAAGTGATTTAATGAGAAATTTGGAGAATTTATCTGATAATATCAAACAGCCCTTTTAAATTAGGTCCTACAACTCTATTCTCTCCTTCTCTCTCTCCCTCTCCTTCTCTCTCTCTCTCTCTCTCTCTCTCTCTCACACACACACACGTATGGTTTAATATTATTAAGGAATGTGCTTGTTATTTTTTTAAGTCTATTTAATGTTTATTTATTTCTGAGAGAGAGTGTGAGAGCAAGGGAGGGGCAGAGAGAGAGGGAGGTAGAGAATCCAAAGCAGGCTCCAGACTGTGAGCACAAAGCCCGAAGCAGGGCTCGAACTCACAAACCATGAGATCGTGACCTGAGCTGAAGTCAGATGCTCAACCAACTGACCCACCCAGGAGCCCTGGAATGTGCCTATTCTTGATGTAGATTAAAGATATTTAGAGTTTCATTAGCACAGTATCCACTATTTTTTGACAAGAACAAAAACCAACCATGTTAAACCTTATTTATACAAATGAATGAAGAAAGAAAGAAAGAAAGAAAGAAAGAAAGAAAGAAAGAAAGAAAGAAAGAAAGAAAGAAAAAGAGAGTCAAACTGCCAGAAAATTCCCTTCTCTATATTCCACCAATATCTCAAACTTAATTTATTGCCTTCCTGCCCATATCAATCGTCAAGTTGCCACATGTAAAATTTCATAAATGTCCCTCTTTCCATGCATCCAAGCCCTAGGACTTTCACTTTGAAGCTATAATTTGATTCTATTACCTCCCTTCCATTCATATCCCCATTTTTCTCCCAATAAATTGATCATTCCATTTCCAATATCCTTACTGCCAATATTTTTAATCCTGCCACCAGAGTTTTGTTCCTAGAGCACAAATGCAATCAAGATATTCTTCTGTTCAGAAGCATTCAGTAGCTTCCCTCTATATGCAGAATAGACT